ATATATATAGAGAGAGAGAGAGAGAGATAGATAGATAGATAGATAGATAGATAGATAGATAGATAGATAGGTAGTGCGATATAATGATAGAATATATATAGGAATATATTTAGTTGGATTGATGTAAGTTTGTGACACTGTGTTTCACGCTCTTTGCGTTTGTCTGACGATCGCAAATGGCGTGAAACCCAAGTCTAAACTCACATCAATCCCACTAAATATCTTAGCTCTATCACTGATATTGAGCGCTTTCCAATAAGTACCGCGCGTATATAATATATAAATAATATATATATATAAATTGCATATATATATATATATATATATATATATATATATATATATGTGTGTGTGTGTGTGTGTGTGTGTGTGTGTGTGTGTGTGTGTGCATTACATATATATTAGGAAGTAATGGATTTACACTTATTAATCCGACAGATTATTAATTAAACATTTTTTTCAGTGGATACTCGTATTTGAGTAGACGCTCCGTTTATTTATTAAACAGTATATTTATTATCTGTCTATATTTCTGAGATGAGATATTGTAATTATTTATGCTATTTGCATTGTTCGGACTGTTGTTCGTAGCTTTGTTGTCATATTCACGATGTTTCGGTCGTTGTACGCTGCGGCGTTCTTCAGCTGATTGGAATCGAAGCTAAAGGGTTGGTTGATGTAATCTAGTAACTTGACCCAGAGAGTTGTGAATTCAATACCTGTCCAAAACAGAGGTGAACAAAATCTTCGGCACTTGAGTTAAATGGAAATAACTGAAGATGAGATATCCGGAAGAGGCATGGCACCGTTGGAGATAATAAAAGGTTTGGTCCGAAATTCCAATCGCCTGAAGATGGCCGGAGCGTACAACGGTCGAAACATCGTGATTATGACAACAAAGACGAGGACATTCCTAGTAAAGTTGCCAACTAAAACTTTAGATCCCTTCCTGGTCAAAGAGATATTACTAAACTATTGAAACATTCTCTGAAAGTTAGAAGTTAAGTAATATTAACATAAAATTAGATCACTTGATTTGAAGTCCAAGAATCAAGTCAAAATTAATTCAGGTTTAAAGTTTAACTATACAACTGAGTCGTTCGAGAAAATTTTTTCTACAGAATTGATATGTCCCGGAAAGGGATATATTTGAACGAAGTAGCTAAGTGGTTTTCGCTACTATAACCAAGTAGAATACGGTAGCAGTAATCGACTGGTACTCATCGTAGTCGAAGGTAAGAAGTCTAGATCAATGGCGTAGTCTAATGGGCGTCGTTATAGACTTAGCTCTCAGACTAAGGCTCTTCGACTCTCTCGTACCTACAGGCCCGTCTGTATTTATGACGGACACCAGCCAATCATATTCCAGTGAGGCGGGAACACAGGTGTATGCATATTCCATTATATCAAGAATCAATCAAATATATATATATATATATATATATATATATATATATATATATATGAGTCTACCATTCGTCCATGCTCAGAATATTGCTGTCACATATGATCCGGTGCTCCTGCTATTTACCTTGAGCTCCTTGATAAAATTTAAAAAAAATCAGCAATATTATTGATCCTGATCTGGCGGCTCGGCTTCAGTCACTTTCTCACTGCCTCTCTCTGTCTTTTCTATAAATACATTCATGATAGTTGTTCGGATGAGTTCTTTGCTATGGCACCTAGACTTTTTGAATTTAAGAGCAGTACGAAATTGGCGACTAGGCCTCATAGATTTACAGTTAAGTTGGCGAGATGTAACCGTAGGTTTTATGCTAACAGTATCTTTTCTCGCTCTTCTCGATTGTGGAACTCCATTCTGGTTCCATGCTTTCCCGCCAAATTTAAACTGCAAAAAATTTATATGCAATGTCAATCGCTATGAACTATTCTCTGATTAGTCTTCTTTTGATCACGTTCCTTAGTAATGTTTCTGTTTTCTAATTCTTTCACACCATTGTGTCTTAGTATCTTTATTGCCTTTCCTGGGTTGAACTAGATTAATATATATATATATATATATATATATATATATATATATACATGTTGACGGGAATTTTTGAAGTGCGTATTGCCAGACATGAGCAAGTGGCAACACTGCGAGACAGTGATCTTGAGCAAGGAAACATTTCGCCATTTGGAATTCAAGATGAAATTCACAGTATCCCAGCTGAGATGTTGCACCAGTCAATGAGGAATCTCAACAGCAGATTTCAAGAATGCATTCGTACAGGATGACGCCATCTACAGGACGTAATTTAAAAAAAAATGAAAATTCCATCATTGTTTCTTAAATGGCATGTTTTAAGGTTTCAATTTCTATGAATAAAATATTTTTCTTCCATCACTCTTGGTTTTATTGGATTGTTAAATAGTTCCCGTTTTTAGGTCAACCTGCATATATATATATATATATATATATATATATATATATATATATATATATATATATATATACTTTTTAATAATTTTTAGAACTTTTCCAAAATGTATGAAGACAATGTCTAGCAGTGAGTAATAAAATTACTTTTCAACCAATAAAAATAAGTACGAAGGAAGATCTTTCACCCCCGACCCCTCCTTCCCAGAAACTACAAAAGCTGGACACTGAACAGATAATTGCCAAGTCCTTTCAACTGTCTGTTGAGAGTCTCATCTCTCAACTCAACAAAGTATTCTTCCATCAACCAAATATAACGCATCACCACAAGTGCACAACGCCCGAATATCTTCCTCCCAAAAAGTAAGTCCGCTAAATTGTCCAATTACTTTATCCGAAATGTTTGTATTTAAAGTCTGCTTTTGCCTTGAGAGTTTTCTCACTTCACGAATTTTGAAAATAATGTAAGTCGGTGATTTAAAAACTGATTTTAAAATAATTATACAATTTATTTGGACTCTGCAAAATAGTAAAAAATAAGGATCTTTCACTCCAAATAATGTAAAGTTGTTTATCGTAAATATTAATTCAGCCCAAGAAATTATGAATTTGAAATCATAGCTTATTTCTTTTTGTTTCTTTGTTTTCCATTAAAACTTTTGGTACTCTTTTGAAATTATAAATTTTAAATCAAAATTTCTTTAGCCTGCTATAAATTTGCTGGAGTTAATACACGAATGCAACGATAAGCGTAAATATTTTCCCTACGTCATTAATACTCTAAAAGACATGATGCTCACACGCAAACAATTGAAAGTACTTGACGGAATGCCAAAATGAAGAATGAGTCCATTTTCGGGACTCATCGCAAGATTCTTATTTATGTGAATTCTTTTGGAGACGTAAAGCAAAAGATAATAATGAATGCATTTTTGAACAAATTTGAAATTTGTTTTTATTTTGGGGTGAATTAAAACAAAAGATCCAAATGTAGTAAATGTCGTAGGTTGATAACGAAATTGCCTCAAATTCCATATTTCTATTTGTCAAATTCTTTGTCATTCATTGACTGAATAGACTTAATATCACTTTAGTACAGATTTTTCTCCTATTTTTTTATTAGGGAGTAAGTCTTAGTAAGAAATCCACCTTTACTAATCCCAGTCAAATCTCGTCCCTAAAATCGATTTCACATTCAAATCAAATCAGTTTAAATTAAGAGTTTAAAATACCAATTCAACCCGTCTCTGTGGGGTTTGAAAAAAATAACTTTAGATTTTAAGACTTCAGCCAATATTTTCAGCATCAAAAGTACTTTTTATGTGGGTATCTGTAAAAAATTCGCTAAAAGGGAGACATGATGAAAAAATGACCCACACATAATAAAAACAAATTTTTATCATCATCGTTGTGTCATTATCAAAAAGAAAGATCAAATGATTTTTTATGTAAAATTTATCTTTTTTTATAATTTTTAGAACCTTCGAAATTTGGTTAATAATTTTTGGCGAGGTAGAGCGGGAACTTAAAATTGTAAAAAAAATTTGAGCGCTTTTTTTTTTGCCGTAAAACATTAATTTGGAAATTCTCGCAAAAAATCAGATAATTGACGAATTTTAATGAAACTATCAGCATTTATTCAGCAATTAATTCAATTATTTCTAAACATTTTCTTCGGAAAATCTTTGTAGAACAATATTTTTATTTTTATGAAATTTTGATAAATTATTTTTTGGTATCCCTTAATGTTTATAACTGTTATAAGTACAAAGTCCTTAGCGAATTTAAAGCATCAAATCTTTTGTTATAAGTACAAGTCCTTAGCAGATTTAAAGCATCAAATCTTTTGTCCAAACCGGATTCTCACTCGCAGAAAATCTATCCCGAATCGTAAAATAAAAAATGCATTAAAACTCAGACATTTTTTAATTAGAAAATTTTTAATTGATTTTATGCATAAAATATATTATGGGTACTATTCTCTTAAGAAGAAAAAAGCAATTTCCCTCAGATAATGAATTGTTACAAGAATTGATTTCATTTTTTTAAAAATTTTTTAATTAGAATGATTTATAAGCTTTAAAATCATTTTAAATTATTTAGCGCTCAAGTGATACTGTTATTAAATTAAAACTGTATTTACTAAATATATGTGAAATAGTTCATTACAATTCGATGATACCCAGAATTTAAAAAGGATTTTGATTTGTTTGTGTGGATGTGTATGTCTATGTGTGCGTATTGATTTTCGTAAATACAGACGCCCATACAAAACATTATGAGAAAATAAGAGAGATACTGAAAATACATTTAAATTTATTTATATTTTCTAACATTTCTCAACAAGCGTCTTCTTAATTAGGCCCAGAAAGCCAAAGTACCTAAAATTCAATAAAATATTAAATTGCTTGAAATATTTTCTTAAATTTTTAAGTTAAAAAAAAAGTCATAAAAAGGCGTTGCTGCTGTATTCGTCAAGTATTTTATTTCAGTTCTGTTCCCTTTACTTCAATTTCCCAAACATCAGACTGTCAATAACTCAAAACGTTAGAAAACATTTAGGTATTGCTTTTTTGAAGGTACCAATCTTTATGTAAGCTAAATCTACTTACGTTGCTTACTGTCATATCACGTTGAAACACTGGTTCCAGTACGATCATCAAAGTTAAGCAATGTCGAGCGTGGTCAGCACCTAGATGGGTGACCACTTGGGAATACCAGGTGCTGTAAGCTTGGATGTGCGATTGACATAAATGGATTACGGCCATATCACGTTGAAATATGGGTTCTTGTACGAACACAAAAGTTAAGCAACGTCGAGCGTGGTCAGGTCAGCCTAGACAGGTGACCACTTGCGAATTTCAAGTGCTGTAAGCTTAAATGTGTGAGTGATGTAATGAATGACAGTTTACAATTTGAAATCGGAGAGCCGAGTTTCAATTCCTATTCGGGTTCATTATATTCACTCACTCGCAAATACCCTTGATAAATATACGAATCCACCTCTTCCCCCCAAATATGGGTTAATTAGTATGACTTTTATATAATAAATTATTATTATCTCCAAAATAATTCTTACAATTTAAAAATATTTTGTGGCTTTAAATAACCTGCAAATGGTTGATTAGCCGTAAAAAGCAAATCAATTAATCAATCAATTCGCTCCAAAATATTCTTTGGGAATTTGTCCTTTTTCATTGTCATTTACATGTCTTCGTCTTCCAGATAAAAGACAGAATAGTTAGTAGCAGCATTTTTAGTTTCTATGTTCAAAAGCTTGAATTGGTAAGATAGGGATGAGAGAAAAATTCTTATCTTGGTGGAAATCAATAAAGAATTGTCTAACCCAAAAATGAATTCTAGCAGGTAATGAGGTTTCAGAGAACGAGCAGCTCTTTTCAAAGCTAAGCAAAGAATTTCCCAACTTCAGACTTGGTAAGCCATTATTCCACTGACTGGTTTGTCAACATTAAAAGATTAAAAGACTTTCCTGAATTGAAAATTTTCCTTAAAAGGTTTAATACGCTAAAACCTTCAGCAGGACCCCTTAAGAGACTTTTCATATTCGGGAAGAGAGGTTTTCAGAATAAATAGACACAGTCCAAAAGATTAAAATTTGAAAAGCAACTTTTGCATCAGCTGAAATCGAATTTCCTAAAATAAAGTTTAACAATACTAAATTTGATTCTTGTAGATTTTTTTAAGTCAAAAAGAAGGTATCACTATGTCTCCCTAATAAGCTAGGGAATCATAGTATCGATGCTTGCTTTTGTAGGTGTAATATAGCAACAACTCTAAGTAGAAGCTTATGAAGCTTTATCTAACCAATTCAGCTTTAGCATTGAAAAACGTTTATTTTATTGTGATGGATAGTTACAAGCGAGAGGCGAGATGGGATGTACTTATTTTTATTTCCACAGTAGGAATAATCATGCACTTAAGAAAATGGCCACACCTTATTTTAAAACTAAATTTTGCTTTTATTTTATTTATTTTTATTTTTTATTTTTGCTTTTTATTGAGCTTAATTTTGAATAAGATGTTTAAAAGTATAATGCTTACTTAATTAAGAAAAATGAACCAGGGTGCTTTAAGCTGCATTAAATATTTCATAAATTAATTAGTTTACCTTTAAATATAAGGTTATTCAACGTTATCTGTGTCAAAAAGCTGACAATTTACATAAAAGAGAAAACGAAACGAAAATTGTCAAGTCTGTCCAAATCGCGTTACGTTTATGTAGGGTTAAGGAGAGACGAGACTTCAACTGTTAATCCCACGTCCAATGATTCGTTTTTTCAACTATGGAAGCACATTATTTTACCTTTTTTACCGAGATGACATATAATTTACAAGTGTTAAAAATACTAAGAATAGTGAACATGAGAAGAAGAAAACATTATTAAGGGGAGAGAAAAAAATAAAAGAAGAATTAAGACATTGCATTTAAATTTTTCAAGATCAAAGTTGACTGGGAAACAAGAAGCCGGAAGTGAATTCCACAAGGGAGAAGTGTGAGAGAAGAAACTGTTAGCATAGAACTTACGGTTACATCTAGCCATTTCAACTCTAAAATGATGAGACCTTAACGACAATCTAGTACTGCGCTGAAATTCAAGTTTCTAGCTATTAAAAAGGAAAGCTCATCAGAACAATTACTATGGAAATATTTATAGAAAAGGCATAAGAAAGTTACGTTGTGGTGGCAGGCGAGGGATTGAATAGCCAATTGTAATTTGCAAGTTCGGCTGTTCATTTTGCTATTTTTTTTTCTTGCTTTCCTTCACTACATTATATAGGAGTTTTTTTTAGTTTCCTTTCTGTGTCCGCTATTAACACTGTGTCATCTGCATATCTTATGTAGTTAAGATTGACCTCTGTATAGGTTAAATAAGTCCGCTGTGAAGACACGTCGTTGTCTTACACCCATTTATATTGTTGTATACTTACTAAATCCATGTTCTATCTCCATGTAAGCGGTTTGTATTCAGTATAGGTAGGTCTTATTTTGCATAGAGTTTCTTGATTTTATCACAACTTCAAGAAACTGTACGAATATTTGAACTATTTCAAAGTTCATGTGTTCTTTTGGGGTTTTTCCACTATAAGGGAAGTAACAT